TGATAATGTGTCAGTTTCTTATTAATTGTATGTATTTTCTATAATTAATATAATATTGACACATCATCAATCCCATCAATTGGGTCTCAATTTTTTTTTATATATAATGTATTATATTAAAACACCTTAACACATGGTACAAAATGATAAACGAATTTGGTTAGAATTCACTTCAAAAAAACTAGCTTATGAGAGAAGGGATTAGGTGGCTTGATGGGAAGAATCTAAAAACATCTCTAATTGTGTTCTTTATTTTAAAGAGCATACTTCACGTAAATAAACAACATCTTTATTAATTTTTAAATAAAAAGAACAAAATTTGTATTCAAATCCAATAGACTTTTTAAACTGTACTTAATAAATATGAGAGATAATTAATAATAAAATACATAAAAATATGTAATTTATTAAATAAAATTGATATAGAGAGTGAAATTTGACTCTTTAAGTCAAAGTCACATTTTAATTTATATTTAAAGAATAAAAGTCTATTTGACTCTTTTTTTTTATGAACAAACTCTTTATAATAAAGAGTTTGGGTCGTATAAAGAGTTATTTGGAGATGCTTTAACATTATGACCAAAGTTCAAGTCTCACTGATAGTAAAAGAGTAATAAGAGGATCTAATATGGTCTCTCAAGTTCGAGTCTTAATAGTTGCTAATAAGAGTGGTTATTGAGCTCTTAATAGTTTTAGGGTCCTGAATGATTAGTTAAGGTGCGTATAAGCGAACCTGACCTCGGTCATAAAAAAATAAAATAAAATTACATATATATACTATAACAGCCTATCAAATTGATGACATGAGACAAATACAGCTTCTAAGAATAGTCTTGTATCGTGTTTGACTTTACAATTTAAAATTTTAAAAATATAATATTAATAATATATTCTTGATAAGTGAAATAGATCCAAGACAATCTAATCTTCAAATGTTCAATATAAACAAATAGAGAGACTTAGAGGATTTTATCACTTTGATTGAGATCTATCTTAGCTTAAGCATAAGCTAAGATATTATTATAAAGCAAGAGCATAATATATAAAGAATAATACTACACTAATAATCCCCTCTCACAATCTTGACGTGATAGTTTGCAATCAGTCAGTTTAAAATAGATCTCATATGAGACTTGTATGAGTCTTACTAATTAATTATAAATTGATCAATTATAAACTGTCACGTCAGGATTGTGACAAAAAATTTATAAGAATTATTGTTAGTGTCGTATTACCTATATATAAATTTATATAAAATAAAAAAAAGGGGAAAAGAAAAATAAATGTTAAAATTAAAATGAATTGATTCTTGACACGCGAAGAGGGCAGGGGGCGGGGCCAGAGACTTCAGGGAAGATGGTGACATAAAAAAAAAGTGATAATTGAATAAAGGAAGGTTTGGCTTTGGCAATCGGCGCCACCACCAATTTTATTTCCATTTATGGAAAGATCCCTTTTATGTGTTTGTTCATAATAAGACAAAAAGTCAGACAATTTTATTTAATTATTTAAGCGCACCTGCACTGCACCGGTACCTGCGTGTGTTTATTGCGTGAACCACTGAATCTAATCTCATCAAATGTGCGCGCGTGCAACTTTCCCCAACCCACCTTTTTTTCTCAAATAGAATAATCATATACCATAATCATCAACCATCCTCAATATTTATACCCTATTGTTTTTCTCCATTTTCAATTAAGTCATTTTTAGAAAATAATTTTAAAAATTAAAAATTTATTGTTTTTTCTTATTTGAGTAAACTCAATAATACAACGGAAAAAAAAAAGGTATAATATATGTAACTGACGTGGCTTTGATAGTTTGATAAACGGGTTTAAGGTAAAACTTACTAGTAAAGTTAGTTTAAGGGAGAAGAGAGTCAAACCATATATATACATCATATTAACCCATATATATATATATAACAATTCACCAACTTAACGATATAAGACTTCAAACAAAAAAATAATTTGTAAATTTAGTTTGAATAATGCCACATATCTTATGTTATATCATTTTTTTTTTTTTTTTTTTTTAAATATCTCAAGTAATTATAAACGGACTCGGGGCAAAACTCATCCCCAAAAACTAGTTTAAGGGGAAAGGGAGTCCAACCATATATATACACCATAATAACCCACCAACTTGATGACGTGAGACAAATTCAATTTATAACAAATTTTTTTTTTTGGTAATTGGGGTGTCTAAGCCAGTTTGTGCGTACTTCAACTATTTCTCGAGGTCTATTAAATACCCTATAAGCCTAAAGGAGTAGGAAATTCTAACAAAATTTATTCGTTTGTAGAATGGGTTTTTACGATGAAAATGCAAGTGTAAATAGAATCTGCGACATTTAGTTGGAATAATGCTACATATCTTATGTCACATCATTTTTTTGCAAATATCTCAAGTATTTATAAACGGGCTTAGGGTAAAACTTATTCTTAGGAGAAGCGAGTCCAATCACATATATACATCATAAAAATTAAAAACTCACCAACGGACTAATTTGACGATGTAGGACAAATTCAACTTCTAACAAAATTTATTCGTTTGTAGAATTTCTCTTTTTTTTCATCAGGACTCTATATTTTTTGTTCAAATAAGTAGAATCTGCAAAATTTAGTTGGAATAATGCCACATATCTTGTGCATTATAGCTTTAAAAAAATATATAATAAAAAAAATAAAGGAATGAATTAAATAAATATTGTTTTTGTGGATATGTTGTATAAAAGTAGAGACAAAAATCAAATTCATTTTTTAAAAGTTATTGATATTGACTTCTTGTAAATCCTTAGAGAAAGATGAGATAATGTATTATATGAAAATTTGTATATATATTTTTAAATATTAAATCTGACAATAATTTTCCAAATAATTTCTATAGACATAAGATTCTCTAGAAGTTTCTGGTTCATGGAGTTTTTCAAAAACAATTACAGCTCACAAGGAGGCCATACCCAAATAAATGCACTGTTTGGTCCCTTCAAGCAGATGTTCAGATATACCGGCCATTTATTCATGCCACGGCCCAGGGCCCAGCTACAGCATACAAAATCATTGGAATGTTTATGAGAGAAATCGCCATGAGAGCAAGACCCCGCGTGTGACCACGAACGAGATCATTTTCATAGTAAGAGATCGAGCTTGTGACCTAGCCTCTAAGTATACCATCCATCCTCAGCCTTCAGCCATTTGGAGCCTGCACGACTAATTGGTCTTGGTTGTTTGAGCCTGTGTGCNAGAAGTTTCTGGTTCATGGAGTTTTTCAAAAACAATTACAGCTCACAAGGAGGCCATACCCAAATAAATGCACTGTTTGGTCCCTTCAAGCAGATGTTCAGATATACCGGCCATTTATTCATGCCACGGCCCACGGCCCAGCTACAGCATACAAAATCATTGGAATGTTTATGAGAGAAATCGCCATGAGAGCAAGACCCCGCGTGTGACCACGAACGAGATCCTTTTCATAGTTGGAGATCGAGCTTGTGACCTAGCCTCTAAGTATACCATCCATCCTCAGCCTTAAGCCATTTGGAGCCTGCACGACTAATTGGTCTTGGTTGTTTGAGCCTGTGTGCTCTTGTTGGGCGCTTGTGCTCGTTTCCCTTATCTGTTTGATTTGAGCCTGCGAGCTCTCTTAGGGCACTTGTGCTCATCTCCCTCTTTTGTGTGAAGCATACGTGCTCCCTTTTGGGCAATTGTGTCCATCCTTTTGACTTGTGTGCAAAAAGATGGGTACATTTGTTTTGGTATTTTTTAGACATTTTCTTGGGATATGTCCCTCGTATTATGTATATATAATTTACCTTGATGTATGTTATGTTTCATGGATGAACTATTAAACTGTTGGTCCATATAAACAATTAAATGTAATCATAAATAAATACGATGAAATGAAGTAATTTTGGTACATAAATTTTAAATCCCAGAAAAAGAAAAATATAAACAAAAACCCAAATACGGGTTTATTCCGTTCTGAGTAGGCTTTGTTTGAGCTTGCTCAAAAGAACTCTTTTCTCTTTTTCACCCAATTTCTTTGTTTTCTTTTCTGGGCTGTTTCTATTAAAAAAAAAAAAAAAAGGATGATTTTGTATGAGTGGGGTATTGGGCCTTTGTTCTCTAACACTTGGGAAGATCACTAGGAGGTGGCAAAACTGATTCATTGGGGCCTTTGCCATTGTCCACCAGAAAGGCCATCTTCAGGCCCCATGTTGTGTGCACCTCCAAATGGCAATGCATGAACCAGACACCTACAAATTGGATTGATAAAATTTAAGTCACAATGGTTTTACTTGATAGTTTCTGTCTATTATAAAAAGTTATATATATATATATATGTGTATGTTACCTGGATTATCTGCTCTGAATCTGATAGCGGTCCATCCACCAGTAGGGACACTCATGGTGTTCCTCTCTACAGGGTCAACAAGATTGAATTTCTTAGGGTCCTTCTTGGCGTTGTAGTTTCCTAACCCACTTCCAACTGTGAAAAAATTGAAGCCATGCAGGTGAACTGGGTGGCTTTCAGGAGCAAGCATAGCGGTATCTTGTAAGACTAGTTGTACAGTTGAGTTGTAACGAAGCCTATAAACTCTTGTCCCGTTCATGGTCTGAAGATTTGTTGGTTGTATGCCTGTATAGTTGTATTTATTAGGTGGGTTGCGAGGGAAATCGTCTGTGTAAACTCCTTTTATGTTGAAGAAATGAGCTTCAAGGATGGAGATACTTGGCATATCGAAAGTGACATTGTTAATGTATGCCACAACACGATTGCCATTGACACAAGTTGCGCAAGGATTGATTCCAAGGCCAATGGTGAAAAAAAGAGAATGATCGATCTTCAAGGGGACTCTAGCGGGATATTCTTTTGAATTTAAGCTTCTTAAGGCATCAGTAAAGCTGTCGACAAGTGGGGTAGCGTTTTGAGCCGGTGGGATAGTGACAATGGTGGCTTTATCATCAAGGGTACCGGAATAGTGTAACGTGCCAGTGGCGGTTATGTTGTCGACGGTAACGGGAGCGTCATCGAAAGGCGAGGCCGCTACCATGAACTTGCCGGTTCCAAGGTTTGCTGTTAAAAGAAGATTTGTGGTTTGGCCTGGAGCTATGAGAACTGTTTCAGTTTTGAAGGGTTTTGTATACGAAGCATCAACCTCAACCACGGTGAAGTTATGGCCTGCAATCTTGAAGAAGAGATCTTCATTCAGTGCAGCATTGATAACTCTAAGCATGTATGTCTTCCCGGGTTCCACTGGTAATGTATATCCTCCTGAAAATCATGGAAAGATTGTCAAAAATATGCATAGGCAATTTAGGAGGGGGCGAGTTTAACGAAGGTTTCTGTAAGTCAAAGTAGGGTCACCAGCCCCCTCTAACCACTTAAAAGGTCCAAGTCCCTATGAATTAAGTTATAAGGTTTTTATATGTTACCCTCTGAAGGGCAGCTTGAGACTGGCCCTGGATAGCCATTGATGGTGTGAGCATCAGACACATTGGGAGCCAGGCCAGATTGCTGAGCTTCATTTATGACAGCTTCAACATCTGATTTCCACCATTCAGCTACAAGTAAAAGAGTAAATTAACCAATTAAACTAGACACGATTAACAAATACAATAAGCTAAGCGCATGATTGAATTGGGTAATTTACCTAATACGATGACAACTTCCTGATGAGGTTTGGGGAAGGGATAAGGAACGCCACGTTTGGGCAAGACGACAATAGCTCCATGGAGAGTGGCCCGGAGCCAGAGAATGTGAGCATGATACAGAAGTGTACCCCTTTGGCCGGTCAGCGTGAAATTATACAAATAAGTTTGGCCTGGTTGAATCGGGCATTGTGTTATGTATGCAGGACCATCAGCCCAGCCAGTCCGCAATTGCCTAACTCCATGCCTGAAATTAACAAGTTCGATTAATTCCATATTTCCAGAAAAAAAACAGTAGTGAAAACACATTTGATAGGATTATTTTTAATTACCAGTGGATGGTGACATTGTAATCGACGTGGTTGACAACTTTTACCAGCACTGTATCGTCTTCTCTAGCAACTAGAGTAGGGCCAGGGAACTTTCCATTAACAGTGACGATAGGTTTAGTTGAACACAATTTAGTGGTGTTCTTCATTACCACCTGAGAGAGAGAGAGTCACAGATCGATGTAAGATATCTGGGAATTAATTGAATATTTAATTATCATACATTATTCGGTGGGCTGCACTACAGTACAGTTCCAAACCATAGCTAATTGAATTGGGTGGTTCACCAAATAATCCTTTGCCAGAAGATGACTTGTAGATTAAGTAACCATAGCTAATGATTAATTAATTAATTAATTTATATAAAATACTGTTTAAATACTCATTTTTCAATCAATTTTACGTGGAGAATGAATCAAATTAATTTATATAAAAAATAACTCTAATTAGGTTTACGTAAAACCCTTAAGCTTAGTATGACATATACTTCACTTCATTGACCCTATAACAAGAAAGAATTAAAACCCTAAAGTTTATCTTATATAAGAAAGAAAGTCTAACAGCTTCTTTATTCTTTAAATATACATTTAAAGAGTGAGTTTGACTCTCAAAGTCAAATTGCATTCTCTATCCCAATTTTAATAATAAATTAAAGTTTATATACATTTTATTTATGATTTATCTCTTATATTAATTTATTTTCTTAAAAAAATATAATATTATCTCTTCTCTAAAATTTAAAGAGTCTTTAGATTTGAATAAAAATTTTGTTTTTTATATTAAAAATTAATAAAGATTCTTTATTTATATAAAGTACCTTTTAAATAAGAACATCCATTAAAATGCTCTAATAATAACAAAATATATAATATGATTGATATATGTCAGTTTCTTATTAATTGTATGTATTTTCTATAATTATATAATATTGACACTCGTCAATACCTTCAATTGGGTCTCAATTTTTTTTTTATATATGTATTTATATTAAATCACCGTAACACAATGTACGAAATGATAACACGAATTTTGTTAGAATTTACTTCAAAAAACTAGCTTATAGAGAAGGGATTGGGTGCTTGATGGGAAGGATTCTAAGAACATCTCCGATTGTGTTCTTTATTTTAAACATACTTTACATCAATAAAGAGCATTTTTATTAATTTATAAATAAAAACAAAATTTCATTTAATCTATAGACTTTTAAATTAGACTTACAATATGATAGATAATAATAATAAAAATACATAAAAATATGTAATTTATTAAATAAAATTGGTATAAGAGTGAATTTGACTTTTTTAAGTCAAACTCATTTTTAATTTATATTTAAAGAATAAAGTCTATTACTTTTTTGTTTTTATAAAAAAACTCTTTATAATAAAGAGTTTTGTTGTCTATAAAGAGCATTGGGAAGTGCTCTAATATTGTGTCTCAAGTTCAAGTCTCATTTGATGATAAAAAGCAATAAGAGGATTTAATATAGTTTCCCAATTCGAGTCTCCATAGTTGTTAATAAGGGTGGTCATTGAAACTTTTACTCAACTTGAGTTTGGGTCTTGAGGGATTAGTTAGTTGCGCTAAGCGCCTCGACCTCTGCCATAAAAAAAAAAAAAATCAAATTACATTATACCTATAACAACCTATTAAGTTAATCTGAGACAAACACAACTTCTAACAATAGTCTTTGTATCTTGTTTCGACTTTACAATTTAAAAATTTTAAAATATATTCTTGCAAGTGATAGATCCCCACAATCTAATCTTCAAATTTAAATAAACAAATAGAGAGACTTATAGGATTTTATCACTTTGATGAGATCTATCTTAGCTTAAGCATAAGCTAAGATATTATTATAAAGCAAGAGCATAATATATAAAGAATATATTATACCAATAACTCCTCTCATACATTTTCTCTCACAATTATACGTGCGTTCGTAATTGTCAGTTCAAACAGTTTTCTATAGGATTCTACTAATTAATTGTAAACTGACTAATTACTGCACTACTAGTCAGGATGTGAGAAAAAATTTATAAAATTTTGTTAGTATACTATTACTCCTATATAAATCAATAAAAAAAAAGAAAATAATGTTAAAATTAAAATGAATTGATTTTGACACGCGAAGAGGGGGCCCCGAGACTCAGGGAGATGGTGACATAAAAAAAAGTGATAATTGAATAAAGGAGGTTTGGCTTTGGCCACCAATTTTATTTCCATTTATGGAAAGATCCCTTTTAGTGTTTTTTCTAATAAGACAAAAGTCAAGACAATTTTATTTAATTATTTAAGCGCACCTGCACTGCGCTGTACCTGCGTGTGTTTTATTGCTGAACACTGAATCTAATCTCATCAAATGTGCGCGCGTGCAACTTTCCCCAACCCACCTTTTTTTTTTCTCAAATAGAATAATCATCATCATCATCATATTTATACCCTATTTCTTTTTCTCCATTTTCATTAAGTCTTTTTAGAAAATAATTTTAAAAATTAAAAATTTATGTTTTTTCTTATTTGAGTAAACTCAATAATACAACGGAAAAAAAAAGGTATATATATGTAACTGACTGGCTTTGATAGTTTGATAAACTTTAGGTAAACTTCTATTAAAGTTAGTTTAGGGAGAGAGAGTCAAACCATATTCACACACAATATTAACCCCTATATATATATATACATTCAACCAACTTAACGATATAAGACTTCAACAAAAAATAATTTTGTAAATTTAGTTTGAATAATGCCACATACCTTATTTATCATTTTTTTTTTTTTTTTTTTAAATATCTCAAGTAATTATAACGACTCGGGGCAAAACTCATCCCCAAAAACTGTTTAAGGGGAAAGGGAGTCCAACCATATAATACACATAATAAACCCACCACTTTGATGACTGAGACAATTCAATTTTAACAAATTTTTTTTTTTTTTAATTGGGGTGTCTAAGCCAGTTTGTGCTACTTCAACTATTTCTCAGTCTATTAAATACCCTATCAAGCCTAAGGACTAGGAATTCAACAAAATTTATTCGTTTGTAGAATGGGTTTTTACGATAAATGCAGTCGTAATAGAATCTGCGACATTTAGTTGGAATAATGCTACATATCTTATGTCACATCATTTTTTTTTGCAAATATCTCAATATTTATAAACGGCTTAGGTAAACTATTCTTAGGAGAAGCGAGCCAACCACTATATACATCATAAAAATTAAAACTCACCAACGACTAATTTGATATGTAGGACTAAATTCAACTTCTAACAAAATTTATCGTTGTAGATTTCTCTTTTTTTTTCATCAGACCTATTTTTTTGTTCAATAAGTAGAATCTGCAAATTAGTTGAATAATGCACTATCTTGTGCATATAGCTTTAAAAAATCTAAATAAAAAAAATAAAGGAATGAATTAATAATATTGTTTTTGTGGATATGTTGTATAAAGTAGCCACAAAAATCAAATTCATTTTTAAAAGTTATTGATATTGACTTCTTGTAAATCCTTAGAGAAAGATGAGATATGTATTATATGAAAAATTTGTATATATATTTTTAATATTAAATCTGACAATATTTTCCAATAATTTCTATAGACATAAATTCTCCAAAGTTTCTGGTTCATGAGGTTTTAAAAAACAATTACAGCTCACAAGGAGGCCATACCCAAATAAATGCACTGTTTGGTCCCTTTCAAGCAGGTGTTCATATACGGCCATTTATTCATGCCAGCCCACGGCCCAGCTACAGCATACAAAATCATTGGAATGTTTATGAGAGAATCGCACGAGAGCAAGACCCCGCGTGTGACCACGGACGAGATCTTTTCATAGTCCGAGATCGAGCTTGTGACCTAGCCTCTAAGTATACCATCCATCCTCAGCCTTAGCCATTTGGAGCCTGCACGACTAATTGGTCTGGTTGTTTGAGCCTGTGCGCTCTTATTGGGCGCTTGTGCTCGTTTCCCTTATTTGTTTGATTTGAGCCTGCGAGCTCTCTTAGGGCACTTGTGCCCATCTCCTCTTTTGTTGGAGCTGCAATCTCCCTTTTGGCAATTGTGTCCATCTTTTGACGTGGTGACAAAAAGAGGGTACATTTGTTTTGGTATTTTTTAGACATTTTCTTAGGATATGTCCGTGGTATTATGTATATATAATTTACCTTGATGTATGTTATGTTTCATGGATGAACTATTAAACTGTTGGTCCATAAACATTAAATGTATTCAATATAAATACGATGAAATGAAGTAATTTTGGTACATAAATTTTAAATCCCAGAAGAAGAAAATATAAACAAAAAACCCAAATACGGGTTTATTCCATTCTGAGTAGGCTTTGTTTGAGCTTGCTAATATTGTTGTAAATGCCCACTAACAAAATGAGTTCTAGACTTTTAACTCTAATAAAGCCAATACATGGAAAAGGGAAAAATAATGGATAATGAAAGAGATGGATGCTAAAATCCCTGCCTTACAAAAAAACTTTATATTAAAATCCTATATATATTTTCTTTAAATGAACCCAACAAACCCAAAGTTTTAAAAATGAGAAACATACTTAGAATAGATGAAAAATCATTTCAGAAAATTGGTGGTTTGTAAAATCCAAAACCAAATCCAGGCTTGCATTTGCATAATAATAATATCGAATTGAGAAAGTGGAATGTGTGTGTCACATGTGGCATGTTCTTTTGTTGACTAGAAAAGTCACAATCATCTTTAATTGGTGCACATCGAATCTCGCAATAACCCAAACCTCTATTCAAGAGGGACCACGTGTCCTTTAATCAATGACCTGATCTGTCGAAATCTCGCAACTGCCCCTTTATAACTTCCCATATTCAATAATTAGGCTGTCACTTTCTAATTTCACCCTCTCTCTATCTCTTGCTTCAGATATCAGCTACTCTTGTTTTTTACTACCATTTTTGGCAGCATTATTCCCGAATTATATTCTACAACCGTATTATTATATTCTTCGATCGTATTATTCGTGAATTATTTTTATATCTAAATTTTTATAAATATATTTTTTATTGTTTATTATATTATACCCATAAAATTCTCGTACCCTTTTTTTATCAGACCCATATATTTGAAATGCTATATATATTTTAACCAAATGATCTATGAAAAGTGCTAAAACTAGGATT